ATCAATAGAAGAGTTAGGAAATCATCAATATCTGTTAGACTCACATGACTTCACATACAGAAGAACCAATGTGATATTTAATAGTGTCCATTGATTTTGATTATGAATTGCAGAAGACTTCTCCATAAATATATATATAAGGGGACTTGGACTGTGTCAATATTTAACTCTAGGGGGGGGGGTTTATTCTCCATGTGTCCTGTGGGTGCGTTTGTTATGTTGTCTAAATGTCCCAGTGAGTTCCTGTCGACACAACAGTTTACAAACAAGACAGTGTTTAAACCACGACTTGTCTTTGAATGTGAACTCCTCCAGATACCCGCCTGCTTCATATCTTTCAAACCAAAGCAAGAAGAAGGATGCAGTTCTCCATGGAGGCCACCATCAGCGGGAGATGCACGGCGGCACCGGCGGGACAACTAAACGAGCGTCCACGCGTGCGTCATAAGGTTCCTCTTCCGGGGGTGGACGAGAGACGTCACCGTTTTACCCGCGTTCGTTGAACAGCCCGGTGTGTTTGGCGGGAGTGACCTCAGACAGCGATTAACCGGTAAGATCGGCAGAATGTTATAAACCAAACATTGTACGAGCTGTTTGGTTGATTCGTCGCTTCGTTAGTTTCACAGCTCGCTCGTCGTTCACTCACTTTTCATGGCGGCTCGCTGAGTGTTAGCTAACATCCTCCTCTGCGCTGAAGTAGCTGCTGTGTCTCTGTGTTGTCTGCCTTAGCTCAACCTGGTAGAGACAACAGTTCACAAGGTCGAGTCCTTAACACCGTTACTGACTAAACACAGTCTCAAAGCTGCTGCTCTGGATCCACTGTGACATCACAAACATCCAGCTGGTCGAATAACTCTTCTCTTCTATTGGGCTCATTGCGTTTTATCAACTTTATGATAGCACAGTTTAGACAAGGGTCAGCCTTCTACTATATGCAGATTACAAATGATTAACATTGGCTCTTATTTACATTGACTATTACTATTCATTTATTTATACAATTCTTTTTGTTTTTATTGCTGTTTCTCTGCTTAGGTTCCATTCCATCAAATTGTATTCAAACATGTCTTCCTTGTGAAGCACTTTGTATCATTGATAAGAAACGTGCTTTAATTAAAGTGTATTGTTATAATATGATATGCTATGAAAGTTTGTCTTCCCGACTGTGCTTGTTTATGTTGCATTAATTAATCTGTAATAAGATCAGTTATTGCTACCTATGCACAATTTGAATGTTTCTGTCACAGCTGTCTTTGGCATGTCACACAAGGTAAGGTAAGGTTCCCACGTTTGGGTGATAATCTAGTGCTACATTAAACTTAGACTTGTTTTCCTTTCCCATCAGTCACCATGCTGTTCTCTGGCAGAAAATATAAGTCCATCACCAGCCCTCAGACAGAGCTCTATGGTCAACCTCTGCAGTTCTACGGGCAGCCTCCTCTTGAAAACATCTCCCTCTTGGAATTTGAGACATTTGCTGTGGACAGACTGAAATGTGAGACCTGTGCAAATAATACAATTTACTATAAGCTCTGTTTTCTCTGATTTTGTCAGATATATTTGTAACATTACATGTTTTTCCTGGCACTGCAGTGTTGAAGACCATTGAGAATTTGGGAGTGAGCTACGTGAAGCTGTCAGATGACTACAAAAAGAAACTGCACAAAGAGTCTAAAACCCTGAACTTTCCTTACAGACTAGAGGCTGTGAGTATTTATGGCATGACGACATACATCAAATCTTGGCTGTGCAGCTTTTATAAACTGTCAAGAGTTACTTTGTAGCCACGCTCCAACCTCAGAGCTTTATCACTTTCATACAGGGATTGCTCTCTGTTCATTTACCAGCTCATTCAGATGGGACACTCAGGGATTTTGTCTTGATTTCTTATCTATATTGTTAGAGCTGTAAATGAGGGATGCCATGTGCTCTGTAAAGAGTGATCCACAATTTTAGGTTGAGCTTTTAAAGCTATAAAATGTGTGTTTTGCCGAATAAAACACCCATATCAAAGCACAAAAGCTAGGATCACTGAGAAAGTCAAAGGGCAAAAAGCTGCCTTCTTATGTTCCATTATGAAGCTGAATTAAAAAATATAGTAACAGATACCATAGTCAAATTTGTGTAATGTTCATAGCTTGAAAACTGAAAATAAAGCCTGTGATGACATGAACCAGTCTTGTACAGAGAGGAAGTCAGAAAATGCTCTTTGCAAAGATTATATACTCTTTCAAAGGCTGTCTAGACCTCAGTCCTAGTTTTCATTGGATTCTGAGAAATCAAAGCTACACATCAAATTAACTGCACGAAAAATGCTTGAAACCTTTTTCAGAATTTCATTACTTTTGTTTAAATTAACTCTCACTCCCCAAATGCTTCTGGGAATCTTACTTCTTATGTTCCATCAATATTCATGTCAAATGACTCCCATCCTTTCCTTGGCATCCTTTGCCAGGTTTTCCCAGTTTGGTACATAAAGCAGCACTGTACTGGACAATGTATGATGCGGTATAATGTATTCGGTATGTAACCCTACGAGGGAGTTGAAAGATGAGGTAATGCCAAATAAAGTACTTACTATTACTATACTACTACTTCTATTAATCTATCAAGGATGAAAGAAAACCTCTGACTGGACTAAGTGAACGTGAGAAACGAAGAAAGGATCATATCTCCCACTTCATTCTCAGGCTCGCCTATTGCCAAACGTGAGTAAAGTCGGCCATTATTATTATTATATCTGTTCTCATGAATGTCATTCAAGTGCAACTAAACCAAGTATTATTCATTTCAATGTCATCTTAAAGGGAAGATCTCAGGCGCTGGTTCATACAACAAGAAGTAGATCTTTTCCGCTACCGCTTCAATGAGCTGATGGGAAAACAAAAGCTTGAATTTCTTCACAGGAATAATCTACAGTATGACACAGTAAGTTTATTTTACCTTGATTCTATGTTTCCACCTTGATATCAAAGGTAACTATAAGATAGTAATTTTGAAAGACACATTTTCTCTTTTGTTGCCTGAGGGTTAAATGTGAAACTGAAACCTCTCCTGTACATTTAAGTGAAAAATATTGTCTATTACAGCTCCAACTGAAGTGTGTGTAGCTTCCTCCAGTCGCAACATGCTGTGTTATCCAACTGTTCCTTCACTAGATGGAGCTGTTTGATCAATCTAACAGGACCCTGAATGTTAAAGGTTTTCTTAAATGGTGATTTAAAAGTTTCAGTGATTTTTGTCAAGTATTTATTAAAAAAAAATATCTGTAAATATTTCAGAGATGTACATGTAAAGAATATAAGTCTAGTAGATTTAGGTTAGTCTAGTTTCTCTCTTCATTTAAACTGTAAACTTTCATATCGGCACATAACGTGTCAGGCCAGGATGAAAACGGTGCCTTCATGTGATAAATGAGCCTCAACCTTCAACCTATTCACTTTGACACAGTTCTGCCTTTTCACTGAAATTCTTCATCCTCATCAATTTCTTTTCAGAGTAGTGCCGAGGAGAAGAAGACTCTGAAGGACTACCTCATCAACTCCAGTTATGCCGTCAGTGGGATTACTGTTGAGGAGCAGGACTTCTACAAAGTGAGTTACTCTTATCAGACGATGTTCTTTGTATAATCATTTAAGTTTCCATGTGAAAGGTTGTGGCGTTAACTACTCGGGGAAGGCTGAAGAAAATATGCATCATGGGA